ATTGATGCAATATGTAAGGTTAGAAAAGATATGCCAAAACAAACAAAACTGGCCACAGTTTATTTTTAGTATTCCATTTGATTATACACTATTACTGATGTGTAAAAGTTTTTAAAAGTCACCAGGTTTATAAAATAAAGGTTTAGCACTGGATGTCAGCAAAATGGCAGAGTTGCAAGCTCTTGTCCTCTCACAGAAACATCAAAAAACAAGCGGAAAACATCAGAACCAATTTTGTGAACTCTGGAAAACAATGAAAAATTACAGCAATCAAGCGAGTAATGAATCCAAAAAAAGGCACTCCAAGACAGGTTTTGTAGTAATTTTACATGCCCTTCCTCACTCCCTCCCTGGTGTGGTGGCAGTCTTAAAGCAGTAAGAATCTTAAAGTGGCAGAGGTGTTAAAGTGGCCACAGTCTTAAAGTGGCAGTAGCCTTAAAGCAGCAGCAATATTACAGTGATGACAGCACACATTCCCAGTGTGGGACTGTTTTCCTGGATCTGGAGGGAGCAGAGCAGACCTTATTCAGAGAATATTGTATATGTCTTTTCTAACCTGTCTGGGGCTACTTGAAGGACAGATGCAAAGTACTCCTCTCTGTTTTGCCTAACTCAAAACTTGGGCTGAAAAAGCTGGCAAACATCATAACCAACCTGAATTAACAATCCTCAGATATCTGGGGCAAAAGATTACAGCCCAAATGTACGAAAGACTAAGGCAAAAGACGGGGAGCACTTCTCTGGGAATTTAAGACATTGAAAAGCAACCATGTATACTGGGCAATTTAGAAAGTCACAGTAAACAGTAACTGTAAATTGTATGAGAAATAGAAATACATAGTAAAAGGAAATACATGGATAAATATAAAAGCAAGTATTGTACTTTTGGTTGTAATTCTACATTTTATTTTTTATAGAACCTAAAAGACAAATGAATAAAATATAATTATAAATCTGTGTTGTAGGGTATACAATGTATAGATGTAATTAGTGACAACATAAAGGGGGAGGACAGAGTTTTGGTATGTTTTTGGCATTGGTATCAATTCAATATAGAATTTTAAATTTAGGATGTTATATGAAATCCCCATGGTAATCACAAAGAAAATCTCTTAAAAACGTCACAAAAATAAATGAAAAGAGAATCAAAACAGTTCACTAGAAAAATATAAACTAAACATAAAAGAAAGCATAATGGAATATCACTGTGGTAGAAGTGTTACTTCTTATGCCTGTTGCAGTATAATTCCCAAGTGTACTGTCTACCAGGAAAAAAAAAACTAATGAAAAATGAAGTGTTAAAAAAAAGCATAATGGAGGAAATGAAGGATATAAAGCTATAAGACAGAAAGAACATAAATAGAAAAATGGCAAGAGTACGTCCGTCCTTATCAGCAATTACTTTAAATGTAAATGGATTAAACTTTCCAATCAAAAGACTGAGGTTGGCAGAATGGATAAAACAGCATGATCCAACTATGTGCTGTCTACAAGAGGCTCACTTTAGATACAAAGACAGAAGTCAGTTGAAAGTGAAAGTATGGAAAATATATTTCACACAAATAGTAACCAAAAGACAGCAGGAGTGGCTATAGTAATATCAGACAAAATACACTTTATTTCAAAAACTGTTAAAAGAGACAAAAAAGGACATTGCATATTGATAAAAGAGCCAATTCACCAAAAATCTATAACAACTATAAACAAATGTGTACCACACAACAGA